GCCTATCGATCTCACTCTCCAGTTTTCCCTCACTCGTGAACAAGACCCTGAGATACTTAAACTCCTCCATTTGTGGCAGGACCTCATCCCTGACCCGGAGAAGGAATTCTACCCTTTTCTGAATCAAGACCATGGTCTCAGATTTGGAGGAGCTGATTCTCATCCCAGCTGCTCCACACTCGGCTGCAAACCGCTCCAGCGAAAGCTGAAGATCACGTTCTGATGAAGCCAACAGGACCACATAATCTGCAAAAAACAGAGACCTGATCCTCAGGCCACCAAAACGGATGCCCTCCACACCTTGGCTGTGCCTAGAAATCCTGTCCATAAAGGTTATGAACAGAATCGGTGACAAAGGGCAGCCTTGGCAGAGTCCAACTCTCACTGGGAACGAGCCCGACTTACTGCCAGCAATGCGGACCAAGCTCTGACACTGGTCACACAGGGACCTAACAGCCCATATCAGAGGGCCTGGTACCCCATAATCCCGGAGTACCTCCCACAGGGACCCCTGAGGGATGCAGTCAAACGCCTTCTCCAAATCCACAAAACACATGTGGACTGGTTGGGCAAATTCCCACGCACCGTCCAGGATCCCCCAAGGATATAGAGCTGGTCCAGTGTTCCACGGCCAGGATGAAAACCACATTGTTCCTCCTGAATCTGAGGTTCAACAATCCGATGGACCCTCCTCTACAGAACCCCTGAATATACCTTACCAGGAAGGCTCAGGAGTGTGATCCCCCTGTAGTTGGAACACAACCTGCGTTCCCCCATTTTAAATAAGGGGACCACCACCCCGGTCTGCCAGTCCAGTGGGACTGCCCCCGATGTCCACGCGATATTGCAGAGCCGCGTCAGCCAACTCAGCCCCACAACATCCAGAGCCTTAAAGAACTCCGGGCAGATCTCATCCACCCCTGGAGCCTTGCCACAGAGGAGCTTTTTAACCACCACAGTGACCTCAGCACCAGAGATTTGAGAGGCCATCCCAAAGTCCCCAGACTCTGCTTCCTCACTGGAAGATGTGTCGGTGGGATTGAGGAGGTCTTTGAAGTATTCTGCCCACCGATCCACAACATCCTGAGTAGAGGTCAGCAGCACACCATCCCCACTATAGGTAGTGTTTGTAGTGCACTGCTTTCCCCCCTTGAGGCGCCGGAGGGTGGACCAGAATCTCCTCGAAGCTGTACGGAAGTCTTGCTCCATGGTCTCACTGAACTCCTCCCATGCCCGGGTTTTTGCCTTGGTGACCACCCGAGCCACATTCCACTTGGACTGCCGGTACCCGTCAGCTGCCTCTGGAGTCCCACAGGCCAAAAAGACCTGACAGGACTCTTTCTTCAGCTTGACAGCATCCCTAACCGTTGGTGTCCACCAGTGGGTTCGGGGGTTGCCACCACGACAGGCACCAACGATCCTGCGACCACAGCTCCTGTTGGCTGCCTCAACAATGGAGGCACGGAACAGGGTCCATTCAGACTCAATGTCCCCCGCCACCCACGGAACATTTTGGAAGTTCTTTCGGAGGTGGGAATTGAAGCTCCTTCTGACAGGAGACTCTGCCAGACGTTCCCAGCAGACCCTCGCGATACGTTTGGGCCTGCCTGGTCTGACCGGCATCCTCCCCCACCATTTGAGTCAACTCACCACCAGGTAGTGGTCAGTTGACAGCTCAGCCCCTCTCTTCACCCGAATGTCCAAGACATGCGGCCGCAGCTCAGATGAAACAACAACAACAAAGTCCATCATCAAGCTGCGGCCTAAGGTATCCTGGTGCCAAGAGCACATATGGACACCTTTATGTCTGAACATGGTGTTCATTATGGACAATCCATGAATGGCACAGAAGTCCAATAACGCAACACCACTCGAATTCAGATCAGGGGGCCGTTCCTCCCAACCACACCTCTCCAGGTCTCACTGTCATTGCCCACGTGAACGTTAAGTCCCCTAGCAGAACGAGGGAGTCACCGGAAGGAGCGCTTTCCAGCACCCCCTCCATGGGGTCCAAAAAGGGTGGGTAGTCTGAACTGTAGTTTGGTGCATAAGCACAGACCACAGTCAGAATCCGTTCCCCCCACACGTAGGCGAACGGAGACTACCCTCTCATTCACTGGGGTAAACCCCAACGTACAGGCACCAAGATGGGGGGGCAACTAGTATGCCCACCCCTGCTCGGCGCCTCTCAGTGGGAGCAACTCCAGAGTGGTAGAAAGTCCAACCCATCTCAAGGAAACTGGTTCCAGAGCCAGAGCCATGTTTTGAGGTGAGTCAGACTATATCTAATCAGAACCTCTCAACCTCACACACCAACTCAGGCTCCTTCCCCACCAGAGAGGTGACATTCCAAGTGCCAAGAGCCAGCTTCTGTAGCCGAGGATCAGACCGCCAAGGTCTCCGCCCTCGACTACCACCCGTCACACACTGCGCCCGACCCCTTTGGCCCCTCCCATGAGTGGTGAGCCCATGGGAAGGGGGACCCACGTTTCCTCTTCGGGTGTGCCCGACCGGGCTTCACGAGTAAAAGCCCGGCCACCAAGCGCTCGCTAAAGTGTCCCACCTCCAGAGGGGGCCCCAATGACCAACGTCCGGGCAAGGGAACACGGTTTCCATTTATATAATTCATTAAACGAGGTCTTTGGGCTGTTCTTTGTCTGATCCCTCACCTAGGACCTGTTTGCCATGGGTGACCCTACCAGAGGCAGAAAGCCTCAGACAACTTAGCTCCTAGGATCACTGAGACACTAAAACCCCTCCACCACGGTAAGGTGGCAGCCCAGGGAGATTACAGATTTATATAAATTGAGTAATAATAGTGGTGAAAATAAAACAAACTTTAGCAATTCTGATTCCTTTTGGTTAGAAGGATAAAATCTTTTCCTGAGCCTTTCGAACATCGCTGGTCTAATGCCTCACTGATCTTTAACTCATTAGGGGAAATAGAGTCTCATGAGGTAAGGAACTTTTAGCTCATTGATTTTGGTAAGCACCTCTCAATGCTGAAGTTATGTTACGTCCTCTATCATAGTATTTATTTATACATGTGGCTATGCAGTGTTTCCCCTACATAGGCTCAGGCATGGCGTGGCGCCACAGCTATGAATGTAACACCTCCGCCGGACAACTTAGATCTATACGAGCCACCGATCTATATATATAAACATACATATATATATATATATACATACATATATACATATATATATATACATATATATACACATATATACATATACATATATATATATATATATATATATATATATATATATATATATATATATACATATATATGTATACAGTGGGGCAAAAAAGTATTTAGTCAGCCACCGATTGTGCAAGTTCTCCTACTTAAAATGATGACAGAGGTCAGAAATTTTCATCATAGGTACACTTCAACTGTGAGAGACAGAATGTGAAAAAAAATCCATGAATTCACATGGCAGGATTTTTAAAGAATTTATTTGTAAATCAGGGTGGAAAATAAGTATTTGGTCAATAACAAAAATTCAACTCAGTACTTTGTAACATAACCTTTGTTGGCAATAACAGAGGTCAAACGATTACTATAGGTCTTTGCCAGGTTTGCACACACAGTAGCTGGTATTTTGGCCCATTCCTCCATGCAGATCTTCTCGAGAGCAGTGATGTTTTTGGGCTGTTGCCGAGCAACACGGACTTTCAAATCCCTCCACAGATTTTCTATGGGGCTGAGGTCTGGAGACTGGCTAGGCCACTCCAGGACTTTCAAATGCTTCTTACGGAGCCACTCCTTTAATGCCCGGGCGGTGTGTTTGGGATCATTGTCATGTGGGAAGACCCAGCCACGTTTCATCTTCAAAGCTCTCACTGATGGAAGGAGGTTTTGGCTCAGAATCTCACGATACATGGCCCCATTCATTCTGTCCTTAACACGGATCAGTCGTCCTGTCCCCTTAGCAGAAAAACAGCCCCAAAGCATGATGTTCCTACCCCCATGCTTCACAGTAGGTATGGTGTTCTTGGGATGCAACTCGGTATTCTTCTTCCTCCAAACACGACGAGTTGAGTTTATACCAAAAAGTTCTACTTTGGTTTCATCTGACCACATGACATTCTCCCAATCCTCTGCTGTATTATCATGTGCTCTCTGGCAAACTTCAGATGGGCCTGGACATACACTGGCTTCAGCAGCGGAACACGTCTGGCACTGCAGGATTTGATTCCCTGCCGTTGTAGTGTGTTACTGATGGTGACCTTTGTTACTGTGGTCCCAGCTCTCTGCAGGTCATTCACCAGGTCCCCCCGTGTGGTTCTGGGATTCTTGCTCACCGTTCTCATGATCATTTTGACCCCACGGGATGAGATCTTGCGTGGAGCCCCAGATCGAGGGAGATTATCAGTGGTCTTGTATGTCTTCCATTTTCTGATAATTGCTCCCACAGTTGATTTTTTTCACACCAAGCTGCTTGCCTATTGTAGATTCACTCTTCCCAGTCTGGTGCAGGTCTACAATTCTTTTCCTGGTGTCCTTCGAAAGCTCTTTGGTCTTGGCCATAGTGGAGTTTGGAGTCTGACTGTTTGAGGCTGTGGACAGGTGTCTTTTATACAGATAATGAGTTCAAACAGGTGCCATTAATACAGGTAACGAGTGGAGGACAGAAAAGCTTCTTAAAGAAGGCGTTACAGGTCTGTGAGAGCCAGAGATTTTCCTTGTTTGAAGTGACCAAATACTTATTTTCCACTCTGATTTACAAATAAATTCTTTAAAAATCCTGCCATGTGAATTCATGGATTTTCTTTCACATTCTGTCTCTCACAGTTGAAGTGTACCTATGATGTAAATTACTGACCTCTGTCATCATTTTAAGTGGGAGAACTTGCACAATTGGTGGCTGACTAAATACTTTTTTGCCCCACTGTATATATATATATATATATATATATATATATATATATATATATATATACATACATATATATATATATATACATACATATATATACATATATCAGAGGAATTTCAACAGCCACACTGTGGTGGCAATCCGGTTCTTTTGAATTTATTTAATTAAAAATCAAATCGTGGTACAACTCAGTCAAAAAACTGTGTTGCCTCCTAGCGCTCCAACTCCCATCTACTCAAAAAAAAAATAAAAATAAAAAAACAACAACAAAACCTTCTATACAAGGAATTATGGGATACAGGAAGCCCAAAATACAAAGAAAATGTTTCTGAATCTAACACTCCTACATTCTATGATTTTAACTTAAATGTTGCATTTTTTATGAAATTATATATTTTTTAAATCACAAATATGCACTTTTTAAAACTTATTCACTAATATATCCTAAATAAATTAGCAACTAATTGGCTCTTACACACACTTTACAAAAGCTTGCTACGCCCCAGCGCGTATACACATTCTCCTCCTCCTCCACTCCCCTGCTCTCACAGATGGACTTTTTGTCCCCGTCAATAACACCTTCAAAATAATCCATTATGTCTTGCGTGAACTGTAATGTGACCGTTTAAATCTGTCTTGTCTCTAAATCTTTGACCACAGGTCTCACAGGAAAACAGGTTTTTCTCTTGTGTGGACTTTCATGTGAAAGTCTAAGTCCCGTTTATAGGCATATTTTCGACCACAGAGCCCACAGAGAAAAGGTTTTTCTCCTGTGTGGACTCTTATGTGACTGTTTAAATTTCCCTTTCGGCTAAATCTTTTACCACAGGTCTCACAGGCAAAAGGGTTTTCTCCTGTGTGGACTCTAACGTGATAGTTTAAAGTTGTCTTTTGGCTAAATCTTTGACCACAGGTCTCACAGACAAAAGGTTTTTCTCCTGTGTGGACTCTTATGTGACAGTTTAAATTTCCCTTTCGGCTAAATCTTTTACCACAGGTCTCACAGGCAAAAGGGTTTTCTCCTGTGTGGACTCTCACGTGATAGTTTAAAGTTGCCTTTTGGCTAAATCTTTGACCACAGGTCTCACAGACAAAAGGTTTTTCTCTTGTGTGGACTCTCACGTGATAGTTTAAAGCTGCCTTTTGGCTAAATCTTTGAGCACAGAGCTCACAGGCAAAAGGTTTTTCTCCTGTGTGGACTTTCATGTGAAAGTCTAAGACTTGTTTACTGGCAAATCTTCGATCACAGGTCTCACAGACAAAATGTTTTTCTCCTGTGTGGAACCTCGTGTGAATGTTTAAAGTTGCCTTTTTGCAAAATCTCTTACCACAGGTCTCACAGGCAAAAGGTCTTTCTCCTGTGTGGACTCTTACATGATTATTTAGAACTGCTTTATAGTCAAATCTTTTACCACAGGTCTCACAGGCAAAAGGTTTTTCTCCTGTGTGGACTCTCATGTGAACGTTTAAAGCTGCCTTTTGGCCAAATCTTTTACCACAGGACTCACAGACAAAAGGTTTTTCTCCTGTGTGGACTCTCATGTGAACATTTAAATGACACATTGCACTAAATCTTTTACCACAGTCATCACAACTAAATGATTTCAGCTTTTTCTGGACTCTCTTGCATGAGTATACATGTTGCTTCACTCCAACACATTTCTTTTTGACCAAACAGCTTGAAGACCTTATTGCTGAATGACCTGACACTCTCACATGTTTCTGGAGAGACCTCTTGTGGACAAATTGTTTACCACACTCAGGGCAGCTAAAGGACTTGTTGACAGTCCTAATATGTGTATCAGAAGACCTGCTTTCATTCCAGTCACTGTCTTCTTCTCCAGTTTCAGACCCAGAGTCTGACAGCTCAGAGTCTAGATTCACATCATCACCCTCTTCATCATCTCCACTCATTTCAGTTTCTGAAGAATCAGATGTCTCTTCATGAGGGTTCAGATCTGGGTTCCTGCTAGTTTCTGCTCTTCCACCAGTTTCTGCTGTCATCTGGTGAGCTGAGCTGTTGGTTGGAACTTCTTTGTCTTCTACTTGCTGCTGATGAAGCTGTGAGAACAGAGGTTTCTCTTCATCATCCTCACTCTTTATAGAAGCCAATGTGAATGGAAACCTGGCAGCATCAGTTTTCTCCTCCAAATGGAGTTGCTTTCCCTCCAGGCTGGTCCAGTTTTGTTCTTTTTCCTCCTTTATGTGGAGGTGTTCTGGGTCTTTCTGGTCCACACCTGCACTCTGTTCCTCAGGAGCTTCTTCTTTAACCAGCACCAGCTGTTGAAAATCTGTAGGAAACACAGAAACATGATGTGAATTACCGATCGATAGAACTTCACATTCACACTTACTCTCACCTAAAGGATTAGTAATAACACTTGTTCAACTTCTCCTTAATGCAATTATCTAATCAACCAATCACATGGCAGTTACATCAATGCGTTTAGGGGTGTGGACCTGGTCAAGACCATCTCCTGAACTCCAAACTGAAGGTCAGAATGGGAAAGAAAGGTGATTTAAGCTATTTTGAGCGTGGCATGGTTGTTGGTGCCAGACGGGCCGGTCTGAGGATTTCACAATCTGCTCAGTTACTGGGATTTTCACCCACAACCATTTCTAGGGTTTACAAAGAATGGTGTGAAAAGGGAAAAACATCCAGTATGCGGCAGTCCTGTGGGCCAAATGTCTTGTTGATGCTAGAGGTCAGAGGAGAATGGGCCGACTGATTCAAGCTGATAGAAGAGCAACTTTGACTGAAATAACCACTCGTTACAACCGAGGAATGCAGCAAAGCATTTGTGAAGCCACAACACGCACAACCTTGAGGCGGATGGGCAACAACAGCAGAAGACCCCACCGGGTACCACTCATCTCCACTACAAATAGGAAAAAGAGGCTACAATTTGCACCAGCTGACCAAAACTAGACAGTTGAAGACTGGAAAAATGTTGCCTGGTCTGATAAATCTCCATTTCTGTTGAGACATTCAAATGGCAGAGTCAGAATTTGGTGTAAACAGAATGAGAACATGGATCCATCATGCCTTGTTACCACTGTGCAGGCTGGTGGTGGTAGTGTAATGGTGTGGGAGATGTTTTCTTGGCACACTTTAGGCCTCTTAGTGCCAACTGGGCATGGTTTAAATGCCACTACACTCAGCTTCAAGGGCTGATTTATATATAAAATAAACAATCAATGATGAACAGGGGTCTGCTTCTAGACCTGCAGAAAACGGACACACAACAATACAACAGGAGCAAGCTATCACTACGTCAACTTAAAGAAATATAAAATCAACATTGTTTTACTGAACAATCACACTATAATAAATCACAGTGCATTAAATGTCAACCACAGCCTTAAGACGTGTTGAACGTGCCCAAGTCCATACTTATGAGAGCACCATGTGAGCACCTGTGTGTGTACACGCGCTTGTACAGGTCCTTCTCCAAAAATCAACATATTGTGATAAAGTTCATTATTGTCTGTAATTTACTGATAATTATTAGACTTTCATATATTAGATTCATTACACACAACTGAAGTAGTTCAAGCTTTTTATTGTTTCTAATATTGATGAGTTTGGCATACATCTCATGAAAACCCAAAATTCCTATCTCAAAAAAATTTGCATTTCATGAAAAGGTTCTCTAAACGAGCTATTAACGTAATCATCTGAATCAACTAATTAACTCTAAACACCGCAAAAGATTCCTGAGCCTTTTAAAAACTCCCAGCCTGGTTTATTACTCAAAACTGCAATCATGGGCAAGACTGCCGACCTGACTGCTGTCCAGAAGGCCATCGTTGACACCCTCAAGCAAAAGCGTAAGACACAGAAAGAAACTTCTGAACAAATAGGCTGTTCCCAGAGTGTTGTATCAAGGCACCTCAGTGGGCGCAGTGGGATGGAAAGTGTGGCAGAAAACGCTGCACAACAAGAAGAGGTGACCGGACCCTGAGGAAGATTGTTGAGAAGGACCGATTCCAGACCTTGGGGGACCTGCGGAAGCAGTGGACGGAGTCCGGAGTAGAAACATCCAGAACCACTGTGTACAGGTGTGTGCAGGAAATGGGCTACAGGTGCCGCATTCCCCAGGTCAAGCCACTTTTGAACCAGAAACAGCGGCAGAAGCGCCTGACCTGGGCTACAGAGAAGCAGCACTGGACTGTTGCTCAGTGGTCCAAAGTACTTTTGTCGGATGAAAGCAAATTTTGCATGTCATTCGGAAATCAAGGTGCCAGAGTCTGGAGGAAGACTGGGCAGAGGGAAATGCCAAAATGCCTGAAGTCCAGTGTCAAGTACCCACAGTCAGTGATGGTCTGGGGTGCCATGTCAGCTGCTGGTGTTGGTCCACTGTGTTTTATCAAGGGCAGGGTCAATGCAGCTAGCTATCAGGAGATTTTTGAGCACTTCATGCTTCCATCTGCTGAAAAGCTTTATGGAGATGAAGATTTCATTTTTCAGCACGACTTGGCACCTGCTCACAGTGCCAAAACCACTGGTAAATGGTTTACTGACCATGGTATTACTGTGCTCAATTGGCCTGCCAACTCTCCTGACCTGAACCCCATAGAGAATCTGTGGGATATTGTGAAGAGAAAGATGAGAGACGCAAGACCCAACACTCTGGATGAGCTTAAGCCGCTATCGAAGCATCCTGGGCCTCCATAACACCTCAGCAGTGCCACAGGCTGAATGCCTCCATGCCACGCCGCACTGAACCAGTCATTTCTGCAAAAGGATTCCCGACCAAGTATTGAGTGCATAGCCGAACATAATTATTCGAAGGTTGACTAGTTTGTATTAAAAACACTTTTCTTTTATTGGTCGGATGAAATATGCTAATTTTTTGAGATAGGAATTTTGGGTTTTCATGAGCTGTATGCCAAAATCATCAATATTAGAAACAATAAAAGGCTTGAACTACTTCAGTTGTGTGTAATGAATCTAATATATATGAAAGTCTAATGTTTATTAGTACCTTACAGACAATAATGAACTTTATCACAAAATGCTAATTTTTTGAGAAGGATGTGTAAGGTTTCTTTATAGGAGCATCCAATAGAAAGTGTGAGGGGCCACAGATCTGGCCCCCAAAGATGTGTAGGAGGAGCTCCAAGTCCCAGAGATCCAGGAGCTCCCCAGAACACAGGGACCCCAGGGAGACTGCAACCAGAAAAGCACCTGCCCCCCTCGAGAGGCGCAGAGGATTGCCCTGGGGGGCCACAAACAGCAGCCGGCAGAGTCCCGGGAGATATCAATGGCAAGCCCACAGGCCCGCCCACAGCCTCCCACCCCCTTGCCGGCCGAGCCTGGAACCCAGCGACCCGGGACCCAGCAGAGCCCAGGGACGCAGATCCCACCAGGCAGCCACTGGGATTGATCAGGCAGACGCCAAAAATCTTAAACCCCCTGACCTGGGAGCCACGAACACTCAGGCAGACCAAGGCACCAAACTCCACACCAAGTGTGGCAGGGGGAGGGGAGACGAAGATGTATAGCATCAAAAGAAGTCCCAGGAGAGGGGAGGAGTCAAAGGCCCCACCTGACATAAACAGTCATACACAAACACAGTCACACACTCCCTCCCTCATGCTCACACATACAACCTAAGACTTAAAAAATGCACGCCGAACACCTACTCATGCTCCCCATACACACCCTATTCACTCTGGTCCCGGTACTGCTGCACAAAGGGTACAACCATCACCGGTTCCCAGAGTTCGACCCTTTTTGCTGAGGTGCTGATGAGCAGGCTCCCCCGCCAAATGCTGAGAAAAGAAACCCACCACCCCAGACCCCAACCAGATGACCAGATCCCCCTACTGCAGAATCCCACAGAGCTGCTCTGCACAGGCCTTCAGTAATCTGGGGCTGACACCATCTGGACCTGCAGCCTTGTTCCTGTTCAGTCTCTCCAGCTGCCTCTTCACCTGACTTCTAGAGACAGATAAGGTAAACACATAAGGTAAACACATGACACATTGTCACTCATCCAATCAGAACTTCCTTTCTGTTCCTTTCTGGCAGAGTTCTGTAGTGTTTATTTAATCTGTCCACTCCGATTAGCTAAGAAATAAAAACAACTAAGCTTAATAAAACAAAACAACGCCATTTTAACTTCAGTTTCAACGTAGTTCCAACTGAGTTCCAACGAAGCTCTTCAACCAGCTCTCAAATCCATCATCGCTAAGTGAAGTACAGACTGGCCAGCTGTATTTTCTACTTTTAAGCTTCTGTCGTTTCATCAACAAGACGACGGTTCCTTCAGAATAAAAGCTGAACTCGCTACTTGACGCGGACATCTGCCTTTACTACCGGGAGTCTATCCGTAGACTGGTTTGTCGTGCTGCAGAAGCTGTGCTATCAGTTTGAGCACCGAAGGAGGGTCCGAGTCGACCTGGCATTCCTGATCTAACCACGGGAGTCTCCGAAACGGTACGTAGATCCGGCACAGATGGCGTCTCATGTCCGTGCTCCTGAAGTCCTCGTGGTTAGTTAGTCAAAACAACATCTTACACCCAGACTCGCCTGCATCAGCTGGAGATTCTGAACTGACACACACACACACCAACACTTCAGCATCCAAATCCATATGCATCCATCATAGAGAGTTAATCCTGGTGATTGTTTCGAATAATAATTATAAAATTAAATATTCTTAAACGTCCTATCTCTCTCTTTTCTTGTCTCTAAATCAATACAAAGTGTTTGAATAAAACTCCCTGAAGTAAAACCAAGCTCTTCTGATTATAAGGGCCCAGTCCATAGATTAATCTCTGGATGTAATAAAAGTGTAAGAATATACTAACTATATTCCGCTACACTTAAAACTGAAGATTTACCTCCTACTTCCTCATCACCGTCGTCTCTACTTGACTGAATTGCTTCTGCTGCTCCGCTGCATGTGTGCTGTGACGATGGCTCCACCCCCCGAGGAGTGGAGCCACACAACATGAGTTCACAAAGCTGGCGCCATCTGCTGGATAGGTAGCGCAATATCGGCCATATCGGCCGTCTTTTTGGCCGATAGCCGATAGTGTTAATGACCCCTATATCGGCCGGCCGATATATCGGTCGGACCCTAGAGGTAACTGTGGCAGCAGCATCTCCTGACTTGGTTGAAGACAAATTTGTAGAACCAGAAGAGTCCATGACTGAGTTAGAGGACAAAAGAGCTGGCGTTTGACAGGAAAATGTTGGATCAGAGGAGGATGGGATGTCTGATTGGCTGGGGACAGGCGAGGAGGATGCTGGGTTTGTTCCTGAACTGAACCTATTGAA